TTTTTTTTTATTTCCGCGCGGCATCAAGACATTTTCGCAGTGCTTCGGTTGGTATCTTTGAATTTACAAATATTCAGTGTCAAAAGACAACTGCAATGCGTGTCTGCGTTTCTAACTTTGTTTTTGAAAGCAGGCGCAGCAAGTCGAGACTTTTAAGGTAAACCTTATCGGGAATAGCTTTAAAAACTAAACAATAGAGAACCAGACCGCGTCCAGAGTCTGCGACTTTTGCTACAGTCCCTTAAAAGGGCGTCTTCGTTTTTTCATATTCTACAGACATTCTTTTTTTCCAAGAGTATTAATGGGCCGGATTAAAATCAGAACTATAGCTGTGTCTGTTTACGGTGTTCGCACTGACCAAAATGTATGATTTTTCTTACCTAAAGCATGACGACTGATTCTGCTGCGATGAACTCTTATCAGGAAATTGTTCTTGCTTTGCTCGCTCTTATCACAATACATTAGCAAAGCCCGATCAAGGAGATTGATGATTGGATTCGATGTATAAGGCGAATTAAATGAAACCCTGTCTACGGGTGACGCCACGAGGACAGCTCTATCGCAAAAGTTAAGTGATAAAGGTAAAAACCCTTGCAACTGCGAGCTACAGACACGATTCCTTGTGGGAAACAGAAGTAGAGAGAGAGGCCATGGTGGAAGGAAAAGTTTTTTTTCTGAGAAGGGAAAGGCTTCTTTGGGAAACTCGAAACTTTAATGCGTCCACTTTCGAGGCAGGAACGGTCAACGTAATTAACCGTGTCTAGCAAATTATGCAACAATTAGCTGAAGTCTGCGCTAATATGCGTTACATACGTTTCGTCATCCTACCGTGGCGGGCCACGAGCGTTGAACTTTAGCCTTGAGATAATTATAGTTCGCGTCCAAATCGATACGACAGCTGATGCATGCCTCATCTGAGTGCATTGCTTCCAGGAATTCACGGTCTTTTCTGGTTGGGCAAGTGCCAACAATCCTTGTGTTTTCCCACGCGAGTTTGTGACCGGTTTCTAACGCGTGCATGGCCACCTGAGATTAGTGGTCTCGTCCGCTGACCACTAAGTTATGTTCGTGTATGTGTGTTGGGGCGCATTTCCCAGTTTGGCCACAATAAACTGCATCACAACTGTCAGAGAGGGTCTTGTAGACGACACATTATTTGTCAAGATAGGCAAACCCATCTTTAGGGTGTACAAGATGTGAACGTTAGGTGATTGCGGTCCGGTTTGCCAATTGTATTTGATATTTTATAAGCTGTCTTTCGACATGCTCAGACACATTTTTCACGTATGGGAGAGCTCGCCAATTCGTATTTTGGGAGCTTGTGTGGCATTATCATTTCAAACGCCCTTTTGTTTGGATTCCTGTCGTTTCATGCACTGACACATGAACTTAATTTCGATCTTATTTTTGGAGAATAGTTGGAAGAGGTATTTTATTTCTGCTTAGTAACTTTCTTCATCGAAGCAGTGGGTTTTGGCTCGATTCAGGAGACTGTAGACAGAACTCCTTTTGTGGAAGATTTGGTGGTTGCTCTCAAAATGAAGGATGAACTCTGGATATGTTTCTTTACAGTAAACTGATATAAGGAGTGATCCATAAGTATTTCGGTGTAAAAGGACATCCAGAAACGGGAGTTGTCCATCGACATCCGTTTTATATGTGAATTTAATTCTTGGAAATGTAGAATTGAGCTTCTTCTGGAGGGGGTCTAAGTGATTATTTTTGGCGATGACAAAGGCGTCATCTACATACCGAAACAAGAATTTTAGTTGACTTGGGGGAAGAGCTATTGATTTCAAATTCTGTATTACAGTCTCGGCTATGAAGACGGATACGGGCGAACCCATGGGGCCCTTTAAGTTGCTCGTAGCTGACTGGCTGTTCCGTTGGTTTCCTTTTTTTGGCTCCTCGCCTGCATTTTTCGACGAATGCCCAAAGGTATCCATTTATCGTGAAAAGTTTTTGCAGATACTGGACCACGGCCTTCTTGTCAGCTGCAATGCGTTTCTACACGACGATATATCGTTCGCACGCAGCTGTGTTTGTGCGAGACAGGACGGTTGCTGAGGTAACTCAGACTGTGAGAGGTATTTTTCACCTTTCTGTAAACCGTTGTTTTGAGTTCTCCACCGTCTTTTCTGCACACCAGCACATCAAGGAACGGCAACTGGCAGGCTTTTTTTCCTCCATCGTGAACTGGATGTCGGAGAAGATTGAGTTCAGATGCTCTGGGAAATCCCGAATCCTATTTCGAGATATGACGACAAACGTGTCATCAACACACTAGACCCACAATTGTGGTCGATAGTAGTCAAAAGCCTGTATCTCCAGTCGTTTTAATACTGCTTCGGATATCAGGCTGGGCAATTAAAGGAGGGACAGGCTTTCCTTGGTAGCCGCTCACGCATCCACGCCAGGGCACGGCTTCTATTTCGAACGCGCGCGAAAACGGGGTCAATTAGACGATCGAACTTCACGCCTGCTGCAGGAAACATGACAGTCACGCGTGGATTCAATTCGTAGGCCTATCGATCTTCCGGATGCCTATCTTGCGTTGCGCGAACAGATCGAGGACAGAGGTCGCTCCCGGCAGAGCTGAGGTAGATATGCAATGAACTGTACATTTTTTCATTCTTTGACAATGGGATCGCGTGTGAGTTCGAAACGTCGCACAAATAAACCACTGGTCCTAGAGAACGCTTTA